ATAAGATTTCATCGTGTCGGGCACAAGGACGCGTAGTAAAACAAGATCAGATTCCTCTTATCACTTTCAGACGGCTTCACAATAAAGCATGTCATTTCTCACTCATGCAAATATAAGGAACCTGATTTTTTTTTCTTTCACAAAGAAAATCTATGTACTACATTAAAAAAAAGGATGAGTATTTTCTCTTATCTTATCCACACCACATATACTACTGAACAATAATCCAAAAATGAAATAAAGGGCAAAGAGCCTCAAATAAATAATGGAAAGGAATAACGAGAATATCTATTTTAGAAAAATTGTCTTATGACTACACTGAAGGTAAGAAAAACTCACTGTACACACAGATGCTTGAAACAATCCTGATATTGTATTTGTAAGCAAAAGTAGTTACTGTATATGTTGCTTTAAACTGTCCCCATCCAAGGATCATCTAGAATACATAGAAAGTTCATGTCGTGCCTAAAGCAATATTGCTCAACTCTTATCAATCAACTTTCTATCTTTTTTTTTCAGGACACAGAAATGTTATAGCAGAATAGTAGTCACCCTTTGCTATGGGCCTTTCAATGAAAGGCAAGAGGTTACGCCACAGTGCCTCCAGTTAGAGTAACCTGTAATATATCAATCTTTTTATCTTACATTTCCCTTTCATCATCTGCCAAGGTTTTTTGGCACAGACTCAGAGTTTGTCAGAAGAAAAATGCTTCCTCGGTATCTCAAAAGCTATCCCCGGGGTTTGTAAGATGGCAGGAAAAGAATTGAAATTTCAACAAGCCCCCAAAGTCTTGCTTTATCCCAGAGTAATCTTTACTGTACAGTTGGGAAATCTTGTTGTTAGTCATACAAAAAGAAAGATTTAGCCTGATGAGAACATTTTTGTATGTTGTAAGGTATGTATGATCACACTTCATGTAGATCAACAGAGGATTTGATTAAATCAAAAATAAAACTTTTAAATTTTAGCAACTTTGCACCAATTTCTGTGACCAGGTATTGGGGATTACATATCTTGGAGGAGCGAAAGATACAATCTGCTCAACCACAGTAAAGTTTCAATGTTTCATTTGTTTCAAAAATGATAACAATGCTTTCTGTGTTCTGAGTTTTAGAATGATCCATAATTCTTTTAAATCTTAAATTCTGAGTGGTTCAGGTAAAATTTACCTGGTACAGGTAGGTAGTTTTCAATGTTTCCTGGACCAGTGCAGGTGTGCAGAAAAAAGGATTTCGAGCCCTGCGATGTGACATCAGATATAGAATGTGTTGATGAGACTACACTACAGTCAAACCAGATCTCCAGGCTCTATTGGATCTTAGACTTCTGATTTCTTTTCAGTCAGACCTCAAGTTATGATTACGGCAGCTAAATTAAAACAGATATACAAACTATTCATTTATTCAAGTATCATAGTTTACTATTAAGCATTATCTATAATGTAAAATGTAATGTTTTTATCATGGCATTGCGTACTTTTTGAAAAATAAAAGTCTTTAACCAAGCTTTTCAGATACCAAGAACCAAGATTTCATACCATATTGGACATTGAAAGATGCCTTACATGTATGGAAGGGAGGGGGGTTCTCAAGAAACACCAAAATCTCAAATACTCCCCCGCACACATATAAAGAGACAAGATTTAACACTGCCATTTGCCATGAGAAGGTGATGGTGTAAGAAAGGTCAGCCACATTTTATTAGCACACGGATCAGTTCATCGCATCTATCTTTTCTCACATACTAGTAGTCATTAGTTCTGTCAAGATGAGTCCTACTTTTTCCTTCAACTCAAGTAATTCTACAAAATTAGTCTGGAGATAGTAAGACCATTTTGGTTTGGTGACAATTTTTTGGGAGCAACAGTATACAAATACATTTTGTACAATGGCATCCAGGTTAGAGCGACGGTAAGAAAAGAAAAAAGAAAACGATGGAATCATACAATGCTTTATTCATATACACAAGCATTTACAACAGCAACAATCTGATAATAACACAGGAGCATGACTTTTGGTGTCATTCTTTTCCGACATGGAGTTATATAGTGGTAGCAAAAATTCACAGAAATCAATTTTAAGTATCAACCTAAGTTTTTTTTTGTACATGTACACTTTGATAGGAAAACAATTGATTTTGACTCCAGGTCTGTCCTCAAGTTGGTAATGTAGGTATCTTTTTTGACAAAACATGTCATTCTGCAAAACATTTATCTAAGATGGTATAATTCTGCTTTTTTATGTTTCATCAATGAGGCTTTGTGACAATATAGTGCCGGTGATACACATGTACATGTATGTACTCTAACATGGCCACATAATTCTCTGATAGATCTTACTGTTACAATTCAATGCAGGTACCAGCTGAACAATTGTAAACACAATTCAACCAAAATTTTTCCAACAAGGGAAATCATTATCAAAGATGTTAACTTTTGAAACACAATTTTATGACCTTGCCTTTTTGTAACAGTTCTTCTACATCAGATCTAGAAGTGTATGTAGAAAGAAAGTGACTAACTAGTCAGGCCCTGGACTGTGCATTGTCAATCCTGCCTAACTGACTAAGAGACTAATACAGTCTGTACAGCTGAAATATATCTCCGGCAAAATTCTCTCTGACATGCGGAGGTCAGAGGTCACCACAAGGGTCAAGGTGACTGCCATGTTTATGAGGACAGTCAACCTCCTCATATCCAGCTGTGCTGAGGCCTGGGACCTGTTTTTTAAGCTACATTCTAGAGAACACTTTGCTGTTTCACAAGAAAGAATTCGAACATTTCAATGAAACAGGTCTGGGGGAAAAATTGAAGAAATCTTTCTCTCTGTCTTAGTGATTTGATAAGGATTTTTGTAAAGTCAAATTCATGGTTCTTAACCAGCACATGTTCTGAAATAAGTTATAGGTGAAAAAACACAATCTTATCATATGTGTATGACGTTGAAATATTTAAATGTATGATAAAGATGTCAACAACAGGAATTAAATATTTCTTTAGTATCAATGAATATATAAAATAAAAATGGCTATAATCATATAGAATATGAAACAAAACAATATTACAAGAAACTAAAATAATCATTGCTTACATAAGTATAAGCCAAACTTGGCTTCATCTTCATAAATTTGATCCCTTTAATTTTTTCTCTGTCCCGAATAAAGCCTAAGACTATTAAGAGAAACCTCGACAGTAAAACAGTTAACCTTACTGCCTAACAAGTATGAAGCTTGTGTAGTGGTTGCCTATCTGCCTAACCTGTAGACGTAGGTACTAGGTACCTCATAATGCCTAACTCTTCAAACTCAACCATCATCTGTGCAGCCCATCCTTTGTTGGCCTGGGGGTTGATAGGGCTCGGATGCATTATGAACAAAACTGGAATATTCAACCCCGCCATTTTCAACGCGTACTGAGCCCGCTCTTGTGCGAACCTTCCCACGCCAACGATCGTTTTCACCTGGAGCAATCGGATGACCTCGACCAGGGCGGTGTCGCACGCGCTTAGCAATGGCTCTCGCTGTGTTACGTGCAAACTCGGCGGGGTGACGTTCTTCCCCGTTTTGGTCATGAACACGAGCGGGGCAGTAGTTGTGCACGAAACAGCGCCGGAAGAAGTTCTGGGGCGTTTTGCAGAGCGAACTGAAAAGGCCCCAGAAACGAGTGCCGCTCACCTCGCTATGGGTGCAGTCCAGGCCGGTGATGGGTCGTTTTGGGTGCTGGACAACTGGGGGGTTCACCTTCCCACTGATCTGCAGGAAGTTCTTCACAAACGTAGTGTCACCAAAAGGAACCTAGAAATGATCACATACTTATTCATTTATCTATTTCATCATAAAACAGCTGGGTAGTCCATTCAGCTAGTAGAAGCTGATTTCCAACGGGGCCCAGCATATACTTACACAGGACAAGACATGATTACATATAGTCAAGCAACAAAAGGTAGACAACAGTCAAGTAAAATCTGATACGTCAAAAACAAAAGCATGCCCATAAATCAAAGTCATCAGGGATAGTTTTTTTCTGCATAATGTTGAAAGTTACCTGCACCAGACAACTTTTCCTGCACTTTTCCTGCACTACTAAGAATTTAGAAACTATTCAGAAGTCATTGTTATTACTTTTTATACCTCAGGCCACACCAATTTAATTTGTTGGTTCACAGAATCCCCCGCTTCATTTTTTTCGATTTGAAAAAAAAAAACTTCAACAGTTGGAGAAAATCCTTTCTCTTCAGAGTTGTTACAGTTTTCCATCTATTGATTCAGTGGTTTGATTAAAAGTTTGAATGAAATTTATTGTTTGATCCTGGTATGTTGACTTCATGGCTCTTATCATAGCATTTGGGGCTATCATAGGATGCCTAGGTCTGTTTTCATTCTTTATTTTTTCACCCTGTCACTTAATTTTTTTCTGATAAAATCTGAAAACCAACAAATCAAATCGGTGTGGCCTAAGTTTTGCAAACAGAAGTAAAAAAAAAAGGAAGACCAATGAGAAAATCCATGTACCATGCCTGCCCACACCTACCCCATTCTGTGCCATCCCAAAAGGACCAGGGTTCATCCCCAAGAACAGCACATCTTTGTGAGAACAGCAGTACTTCATGACATAGTCCTTGTGTGTCTCACGTGCGTAGTCCAGAGGATTGTACAAATGTGTGACCGGATCCCGAAACACGAGGTGTCTCAGTGTCTCGCACAAGTTTGCCTCAATCTGAAGGAATTTCATTGCAATGGACCTGTCCACTGTGACAACTTCTGCAAAAGGTGATTCTGTAACCTCATTGGCTGGCTGTCCTGGTTTCTGATTGGCTGCTTTGTCTGAGTCTGTGATTTCATTTGCTGTTGAAGGCTGGGTCACAGTGCTTTCATTGGTCTCTTCAGTGTGATCTTGACTTGAGGAAGGAGAAGCAACTTGTTGTATTGTTTCACCCTCCGTCATACCCATTGCTCTACTCTGTCCTGGTCCCTCATTGGCAGGTGATTCGGCAGCATTACCCTGATTGGATAATGTTGGCACAGGCTGACCAATGGGTGACTCCCTCTCTAAAGCACAGTTTCTTGGTACAGAATGGCTTTGTTTACACACTTCCTGAGATGTAGAACAACCAGCCACTACAACCCCACTGGTCGATGGGACATCTGATTCACTGTTATTGTTTGTAATTAAAGTGTTGTCTCTTTCAAGGCGTGGTCGCTTCGAGGGGAAGCCACCTTCCTCTGACATCTTCAAAACACCAGTGGAGACACCAAAAATTCTTCAACCTGAAAAAATGTGAGAAAAGAACTTTTTCAGCTTTTGAAACTTGCAAAAGTCATGTCACACTTCTTTTATGTAATGTTGTTTGATGTCTTCAAAGCCACACGTCTACTTTCTAAGAAAACACTTATATCCTACTTATGTCCTAGGAGACATAAAAATAATACCCCAGTATGAAAGATGAGATGCAATACTAAACATTTTCACAAGGGGGCATGGTTGCATTGCATTGAGTTCCAGCTTTGCAGACAGACCATTTTGTGTTATAATTTTAAAATTGCGATAACTACCATTGACATTTCACGGATTACAACACATGTAGTGTGTAGTGGTGAGTAGGCATTAGTGTGCTTTCCAGCTCTTGCTTTCAGCCCTCACTACTATGTTTATGGATTCGAAAGAACTTTGTTGACATTTACCTTGTCAGCATGTCAGCAGAACGTACTGCACCTGCTCAAAACCTGTAATGTATTGTGCATAGCGCTTTGGCATCTCATATAAGGTCATATAAGGTTAACATCCCTTGTTGTAGTTTTCAAATGTTATGACAGAAAAGATACCCTCTGCAACAGGCAAAATTAAATTTTTTTTAATGCAACGTTGACCAAACAGCCAATGAAAACCGTGAAAAATCAGGGTTTCGTGCAAACGCAATACGTTCTGCTGAGGTGCTTACTTTGTCTGATCCTGACCTCTTTCCTCAAGACCTCAATAGGAAGTGGTCAGCAGGCAGATTTGCATTTTTCATGAATAAAAATGACAAAAAATCTAACAAATACTCTGAATACACATGTCGGTCTTCGAAAATGTGATAGCTACATTCCACAAGGATTGCTATAGGTATTCGTATTTCCCACGGACTGTTAGAGACTGGAACGAGCTTCCGCAGGCCTTACCAGAAATACCAGAGGCCGACAAGTTTAAGGAAGCTGTTCTGCTACACCTGAGGAGTATTTAGAGCGCTGCGCACCCCCCCCCCTGCGTGTTTGACCCCAACTGAGGGGTGTTACGCAGTACTACATCAAGATCAAGACATGTAAATGGTTGGGCTAGCCAAATTGGCATTTCATAGTGCTCTTTTACTATGTGCATTTTGATCAATAAAATTCTCATATCAACAAAATTTTGCTAAAACCACGACATTGTTTAAAAAATTATAAAGCGTTACGTTATCAAGATACACGTAAATATGCAAAATAACCTGGCATATCGATATATATCAAGGGCATATTATTATGACACATAACACGTGGATTTTTAAATTATAACTCTCGTGGTAATGAAATATGAATTTTCAAGTCCAACTGGTATATTTCAAAACAGCACCAACATCACAAAACCTGTATGTAAATTATTAAGGCAATGTCATTGACGCAAATTAAATACCATCTGCGTAATCAAAACAAAAACAAGAGTGGTTGAGAGACGGTATTTTTGCACCCCTCCCCCTATCAAATCGACATATAACATCCCTATTCTTCGTGTACATCATTGTCATAAATCTCTTCAAATAGATAGAAATATTCTTACCAAAAGTAGGAATCATAAATTAGGTCCTTTACTTGACTAGTTTGGTTAAAATTGGATGAAAATATTGTGTAAATTCTGTTCCTACCTCACTGTACCCTCCCACCCTCCAGAGCTAGGACGCTATTTGTAAGAGATATTTTGATTGGTTACCTGAGACTATGTTAGCCAATCAAACGAGGTTTTCTAGAATTGATGATGACGTTGTGTTATTTCCGGTCAACGGCTCCTCCTCTTCCGGCTTGAACTTTC